GAACAGTGAAGATTGCCCCAGGTCCGGGGAACTAAAGGTTAAAGGTCAACACCTTGGAGCACGTGCTCTTGGGCAACTCCCTTCCCCTCCATGGACTTCCACCTCCTCACCTATAAAAATGGCTGTCAATGGGCTGTAGACCTGCGAGAGACCTAAGTATTTCTCTTCCAGGGTAAGATTTCAATAAATCATGTCTAAACCTGAAAAAATGTAATCGAAATGACATAAGCATGTTTTATAGGGGCACGGAGAGAATACTAAAAGAAGCATTTACAGACGATTCAGGAGCAGGCATTTAGCCTAGTGGTTAAGACAGCTGCCTGCCAATCAGAGTGCTTGGTTTCGATTCCTGGCTAAGGTTTCTGACTCCAGCTTCCTGCCAGTGCAGCCCCAGGGACAGTGGTGATGGCTCAGGGTCCTGGCAAGCAGTGGCTGTTTTGTATTCCTTGCTCCCAGCTTTGGCCTGGGCTCTGGCCCTGGCTGCTGTGGATATTTGGGGAGTGAACTAGTGGCTGAGCACTTTGTCTATCTTTCTCTCTTTTTTAAAATTTTATTTGAGAGACACAGTTGCAGACACAGAGAAGAAGAGATAGAGAGAAAGGGCTTCCATCTGTTGGTTCACTCCCCAAATGACCGCAACAGCTGGAGCTCGGCCAATCCAAAGCCAGGAACCTGGAGCTTCTTCCAGGTCTCCCACATGGGTGCAGGGGCCCAAGCACTTGGGCCATCCTTTGCTGCTTTCCCAGGAGCATTAGCATAAAACTGGATCAGAAGTGGAGAAGCCGGGGCTCAAGCCAGCACCCAAATGGATTGCTGACATTGTGGGAGGCTGCTTAACCCACTATGCCACAGCGCTGGCCTAGGGGTTGATATTTTGATTAAAAAGCCTTGTAGTCACAGCTCAGTCTTAAAACCAGGTACAAGCATAATTTGATTAAAATTCCCAATTAAATTCAAAATTAATGAAAACCACTGAAGCAATGGCATTAGACAGAATAATAAGAACAACAAAATGAGGATAAAGTAGCTAAGTAGATAATAAAGTTGGGGCAAGCGTTTGGTCCTGAAGTTTAATAAGATGGCCACATCCCATAGGGGAGTGCCTGGGTTCATTTCTTAGCTCCAGCTCCTAATTGCATCTTCCTGCTAATGCAGACCCTGGCTCAAGTACTTGGGTCCCTGCCACCCACAAGGGAGACCTGGATGGAGACCCTGGCTCCTGGCTTTGGCCTGACTCCAGCCCCAGCAATTGTGGACATTTGGGGAAGTGAACCAGCAAATGGGAGATCTCTCCCCTCCTCCCTATCTCTCAAATTAAAACAAACACAAAGACCTCTTCTTTCGATTTTCAACACCACCATTGGCTTGGGTAGGAAATACCCCCTTTGATAAGTGACCAGATCATGGCCAGGTAAATTTAACTGCAAAGAAATTCCCCAGAGAGGAAAGGGATGGGAGATTCTTCTTCTTCCGGCTGTACCCTCAAAGTCACAGAGCACTGGAGGAGGAGCTGGTTTGCAGGTGCAGGGCCCCTTTGTGGGATGTGTCTGGACTCAGGGTCTCGGTCCCCTTCTGGAGGCAAAGAGGGAGGTGGGCAGGCAGGGTGAGGAGAGTACAGTTCTGCAGTAACTTTAAAGAACAGGTTTCTGGGGCCGGCGCCGTGGCTCAATAGGCTAATCCTCCACCTTGCGGCGCCGGCACACCGGGTTCTAGTCCCGGTCGGGGCGCCGGATTCTGTCCCGGTTGCCCCTCTTCCAGGCCAGCTCTCTGCTATGGCCAGGGAGTGCAGTGGAGGATGGCCCAGGTGCTTGGGCCCTGCACCCCATGGGAGACCAGGAAAAGCACCTGGATCCTGGCTCCTGCCATCGGATCAGCGCGGTGCGCCGGCTGCAGCGGCGGCCATTGGAGGGTGAACCAACGGCAAAGGAAGACCTTTCTCTCTGTCTCTTTCTCTCACTGTCCACTCTGCCTGTCAAAAAATAAAAAAAATAAAAAAAAATTAAAAAAAAAAGCCATTAAAAAAAAAAAAAAGAACAGGTTTCTGATGCGGGAACAAAGTCCCTTGATACCCGGGGGGGCCGTGGAGTGGGAGGGGTGGGCGCCCTGCCTATGCTCCCGGAGCACTGCTCCTGCACCCTGCTGCCACTCTGCAGTCCCAACTCCACTGAGGGCAGCAGCTTCTGCAGAGGAAACCTCTTTCCTTTTGCAATCAGTGGTGTGAGCCATTCTCCGGGGTGTATGGTTAGGTGGGGAAGAGCAAGCTGCAGAAGTGTGTTTCCAGTGGCCCGAGGCTGGTGTAAGGAAACAGGGTAGGGGTCATAAATATGCGGGTGCAGCTGTGTGCTGTGCAAGGGTACCCAGTCTCCCCGTAAGCCAGGGGTCCAATGGAAGCAGGGAGATAGGGTGGGAGGAACAGCTTTC